TTTCAGTTTCTCTGAGAGCTATAATCTATAACTATTCATATGTAATGTTAATCGACATCTCCAGTTGTCTTGATCTATCCACTATCCTTCTCCTCATCCTTTCCTCTATCACTCCTATCTGATCTTGCTCCATATCTTCTGTAACCCCTTGCGTCCTAGTGGCTTCCCGCCTTGCTTGGGGTGATAAGCTTAAAAAAAAATACGTCGTTCCAATGGAATACAAAGGTTGATCGTCGTTCGCTACAATGTGTATGGCATTACTTATCGGTTGCGACGTCAATGGCTGCTTTGGCTTTCAGCCATATTTTTGTTTTCCTTCTGTATTCTCCTGATAAATCCATTATCTTCGGCAAGATATATATTCTGAATTGTCTTTGCTTATTTTAGTTTAGTTTAGTTTAGTTTATTTTTAGCGTCTTAGCCATTAATAGATTTTTGTTTTTAGTTTATTACTTTTTGATTTTCTTATTTCTAAGGCAACGATATTGTTTCGTACGTACCCGACTTTTTTCCCGCTCTTTCCACCTTTTTTTTTTTTTTTACACCTACGTTTGTTGTTTGGGTTTTTATTTTATTTTCAATTTTTCTCTCTGTTTTTATGACTTCATCATTCATACGCCTTTCGAAATCTTCGGCCTACTTCATCAATCTCACTAATGAATACTCAAAGTTTCTCTTAAGAGAAACAACACCTCAAACGCTTATATTAACGAACGTTGTTTTCGAAGATTTACTGAAACCCTTTGTTTATTTGTTTGTTTTTTTTTAGTTATTTTTTTTGTTTTGTTTTTTTTTGTTCCTGTTTTAGGTTGCCTCAAGTTACTTGCACGGACAGCGACTCTGGTTGAGGCTTTCAGAGCGCCGAGTATGAATTCCCGACGAGTTTATTACATTCCCTTACGTGCTAATACCCCTGGGAAAGATATGAGTATATCTCTTTTTCCACTCGAGCTATGGATAAATAACAAGGCAGATTGGACTTTATAGCCTTGGTTGGCAGCCAGTCTGGGAAATGTTTTTCTTTTTAATTCTGCATTTTCCTGATAAATATATTATCATCTATATATTCTGAAATTGTCTTTGCTTATTTAGTTTATTTTAGTTTATTTTTAGCGTGTTAACCAATAATAGAAAGGTATGAACCTATCTCCTTTTTCACCCGAGCTATGGATAAATAGCAGGGAAGATTCGTCCTCATAGCCTTGGTTGGTAACCAGTCTAGCAATAGGAAAACTGAATGCAAACCAGCTTGTAGAGACTTGGGCTCAATCAGGATGTCATGCTCGAGGCAACATTCCTGTTGCCGTGCCTGCAGATAGGAGGCTTCTCCAAGGTTCTTTTAACTTTTAACTTCTGAATCATCAGGAAATTTAAATAACAAAACAATACAATTTTCAATACTATTACGACTAATTAACAACTATTTGATGACTTGTTTTATTTTAAAAAATTTTCGATGAAATATCAGTCCTCCTATATGGCTACCCACCCCCGTAAAGCTGGACAAGAGACTTGAAGCAGCAAATATGTGATTATGCAGAAGTCTACTAAGGATACCAGGGGCCAAACATGTGAGTAATGACAATGTTTTAGAGAAAATGAATAAAAAAAAATGATACTAATAGATAACAACAGGGAGCGACAGTTGAAATTTCTAGGCCGCCTGGTGAGGAAAGAGGGCTTGGAAAATTTGATACACAAAGGACGGAGGAAAGCGGCGCATAACATACCAAGCGTGTTTTAGTAAAAGGTCACGGGATTTGTGATCGTGTTCAATTTGATGATTGAAAGAAAAGCAATATTTTTTTTTTTTCGTTGCCCTACCGGCATTTTGCAAATAAAGAAATAAATGTTTATGTAAACACATTTGGAGAATCTTCCATCAATAAAATACATAATTTTGATTAAAGATGGCACGAGAATATAAGAAACACGGGAAAATTATTTTGGGAAGTATTGATAGTACAGATTTATATAAATAAAAGATTTTGCCAAAAATGTGCTAAAAAAAAAAACAAAAAACTTTTGCATCTATTTAATACGAGGGAATATCCAATTTTGATGGAACACGAATAGAAATTCGAAGAATTCGATAGAATTGCCTTTGATGAAATAAAATATAAATTTATATAAATATAAGATTTTTTTTTCTCTTAAAATGAATCTATAATAAAAGATGACAGAATATAATGGAATGCACCATTTAGATGAAAAATGGAATGAGATCAAAGATAGCCCGGAAAATACTTAGACGAAATTAGGATACTACAAATATTTATGAATAAAAGATTTTTTCCCCAAAAAATGCTTTAGCACAAACAGTAAATTCTTGCGCCTGGAACACAAAATTTATCTGAAAGATAGCATGGGTTCATAAAATATAAACCTATGCCATCATCCAAGGAAAAAGACTCTAATAAATCAATAAAGATTCAATGAATTTATATGAATATAAATTTTTATCAATATTTTGCGAAATCATTTGCAGTACTGGAACATTATGAAACACGCAAATTAGGGGAAAGGTAACGCGAGAAATATGTAGTTTATTAATACGGGAAGTGGCTGAAAATGTCCAAAATAAAAATAAAATAAAAAAAATTACGTACATATATATTTCTATAAAGAACAACATAATTCACGAAGAGGAAATATACTTGTATGTATCCACATAGCGGTCGGAAAAAGTAAAGAAAAATAATTTGTATGATTATCTGGAGTAAACTTGTTGTGTACGGGTGTGCTCACCCACCCCTACGCCACGTTGTTGCGTTGAAATTAAGTAGTCACCTTTCCCAGCGAAATAACCCCCAACCAGTCAACGGAGGTGAGTCCTTATTTTGGATACAGCATCCTGGCACAAACAAAAAAGATATATAGGGACATATATATATAATAAAAAGGCTTAAACACTAATATTCCATGGTCATAATTTATTCCATTGGAATCGTAAATTGGATCAATTCATCAGACCTACAAATTTGTAGGTCTGAATTTAGTGTTCTTTAGTTTTTATTATATCCTTTACTTTCTGTCCTAGACATTGAGTTCTACCTGGATTCTTCCTCTTGGAAAATTTTTTTTCTGAAAATATACATGTATGGGTATTTTTATATATATTTTGCATATGTATGTAATTTTCACTAATATTATCTATTTCTCTCTCTCTCTCTCTCTATATATATATATATATATGAGAGAGAGAGAGAAATAATTATGAACAAATTTAGATAGATAGATCTGAACAGAGTGACATAAATAAATAAAACTGAACACACTGAGATAGATAGATAGATAGATAGATAGATAGATAGATAGATAGATGTCTATATATCTGAGATTAGGTATTATGTACATTATTTACATTATTCGGACTATAGTCCTCATCTTTGTCGACATATTCATTACAAGGTTTCGGCCGTTGTACGTTCCGGCCTTCTTCAGGTGGTTAGAATGTCGAACCTTTATTTCGTTCACTGGGGTAGACTGTTCTAGTTCCACGTGCCATGTTTAATCGATGTCAGTTATCAGTTATCTTTTGTTAATTTCCCTCTGAAAGTTCTCCAGTGTGAGTTCAATACCCGGTTAAGGCAGTGGAGAACCTTGTAATAAATATGGCGACAAAGATGTGTCTGAATAATATATATATATATATATATATATATATATATATATATATATAGATAGATAGATAGATAGATAGATAGATAGATAGATAGATAGATAGATAGATATTTTTTTAAGATAAAGTGTTGGTTCGTGGTAATATCAATATCAAAGATGACAATATAGTAATTATTATTTTCCTAACACTTCTTTTTTCTACATAACAACATCGGTTGGTCGAATTAAAGCATTTATTTGTAATTTCTTTCAGTCAATTTCTCTTTCTTAAATGTACATTTTCTCGGTCGTGATTGATCATGACAATTGGTTTTCCTTCCCAAGTATCCAGTTTTCATACACAAGTCACCTTGGCTCTCTCAACCTTCAAACTTAAAAAAATAGAATTACTCTCAACCCTCAAACTTAACGTACCCCGGTTCAATTGCTGAAATGCTCGTTAGCCCCTAAGAGGTATTAATCCGAATGTAAATCTTACAAGTACTAACAGGTATACACATTTTTTTTTTACAGAAAATATGTAGAACAGTTTTAAGAACACAAACATTTATAAATCAGTCCATTTTGTCGCCTTGTGTTTCTTAAGCATTCTCTTACTCTTGCTTGTTAGTGCAACCTGACTTTCTCTTCATGTAGATATCATATTATTCATTATACTTTTGTTCTTCCGTAATATATAAAAAAGTTTATGAGAATTATATTAACGTCACCTGTGAAGTTTTCAAACCAGAAATAGATGAACTGGTTAAGCACAATGTACGTAGATTGGTAGGTAGAAAGTAAATGGATGTATATTAATATCCGAGATTGTCACAGACAGATGTCATGTTTGATAGTCAAGCAAAAGCCGTCACGTGCAGACAAAGAAGAACAGGAATAATGAAATAATTTAGATTATTGGGGGAAGAGGATGAAAAATAAGGAGGGGGAGAAGGTGGAAGATGAGGATATTGAGGAAAAAGAAAAAGAAGAAGACAATTAGATGGAGAAATAGTGTCCAGATGAAGAAGAAGAAGATGTAGAAGGAAAAGAAGAAGAAGATGTAGGAGAAGAAGAAGAAGAAGCATGTAGATGGGAAACAGTCTTCAAAAGAAGAAGAAGAAGAAAAATTTAGGAGGAGAAACGGTGTTCAGAAGAAGAAGAGAACGAAGTGGAGGAGACGAAAGGAGGAAAAGAAGAATTTAGATGGGGAAACATTGTCCAGAAGAAGAAAAAAAAAGAAAAGAAGAAGAGGAAGAAAAAGAAAAAGAAGAAATATTTAGATGGATAAACAGTGTCCAGAGGAAGAGGAAGAAAAAGAAGAAATATTTAGATGGATAAACAGTGTCCAGAAGAAGAAGAGAAAAATGAAGAATAAAAAGAAGGAGAGGAAACATTTAGATGGTGAAATAGTGTGAAGAAGAAGAAGAAGAAGAAGAAGACATTTAGATGAACGGAATAAGAGGTTCAGGAAAAAGTACAACAAAGATTTAAATGGAAAAACAATGTTCAAAAGAAGAAGAAGAAGAAGAAGAGGAGGAAAAAGAAGTAGAAGAAAAAGAGAAGAAATATTTATAAGAAGAGGTAGAGGAGGTGGAGGGGGAGGAAGAAAAAGAAGAAGAAGAAGACATTTAGATGAACGGAATAAGAGGTTCAGGAAAAAGTATAACAAAGATTTAAATGGAAAAACAATGTTCAAAAGAAGAAGAAGAAGAGGAGGAAAAAGAAGTAGAAGAAAAAGAGAAGAAATATTTATAAGAAGAGGTAGAGGAGGTGGAGGGGGAGGAAGAAAAAGAAGAAGAACAACAACAACAACAACAAGAAAGAGTAGATGATAAAGTAGATAATGAAAATAATGACACCACAGATAAATATTTCAATTAAGAAAAAAGAAAGCAATGATGATAAAAGTTAATGAAACGATTAGTAATTAAACTGACAAATACAAACTAATAAAGATGGTGAAATAATCACGTGTAAAGCAAAATAGAGAAAATTAAGACGAAAGAAGGAAACAATTACTAAAGTCAAAGAAAAAAAATATAATCAAATGGAGGGGAAAAGTAAATTAAAAAAAAAAACAAGTAAAATTAAATAACTTAAAATTATCGACATTCAAATTATCATAACTAAAATAATGGTTATATTAAAAGTAATCAACCCATTTGTTTTCTACTAGCAGCGATATAAATCTTTGTTATTTTTCTTTTCAGAACATCATCATTATTATTATTATTATGTTCGTGTAGCACATTGCTGTAGTTAATTGGAATTAAGTGTTATGGCGTCAACAAGATTCTTTATAACGCAAAAACTTGATGGCAATTTTCATGAAGCCTGAAATGTTGGCACAACTTCCAATTTGCCCTAACTGCTCTTTCAAATTACTAGATAGTTTTTAAAGAGCACTCATTACTACAGAAATTGCTTCAACAACTATGGTCCATAGATTTATCAATGCCCCGGCGAAATCCTTTTCAGTTTCAATGGAGTTCACTTTTATATCATATGGAACAGCAAAGTCAATAATTCGACACTTGCTTTTCTCTTTATCTATAAAAATATGGTCGGGTGTTTGTGCTTCGTAATCTGTATGGACTGGGAAATCTCTTAATACACTGCGCCTGGCCAATATTCATACCATTTCTCTTTCACACTAAACGGCATAATCTCCATTGGATTCTTTTACCAATCCAATCATGTGGTCGTTTATATTTTTTGTGCAAAATAAGCGCCGACTCTCTCATCAGCTTTTCCTTCATTTGCTTTCTTCTCATGATCTGTGTATTTGATTGTATTCTTTCTGATGTCCTGCTCCTTCGCTACAAATATGGGTGACTGCTTACCTCCTTGTAAAACCATCTTTTTGCTCGAAGCCATTTCTCAACCGAAGCAATCGTATGCAGAAATAAAATGGCCATGAAGTTTCTTTTTTTTTGCCGCCTCTTGTCATGCAACTTCTATGCTACAGTCAATTTCAATATTTCACGGTTCAAACTCCTCGTTCATTCTTCGTGCAGCTGTCAGAAGCAATTCTCGAGAACCCTCAACATAATTCTCAAGTCCTAAAATAGCTGATACACAAATTCTTCAACATTTCTGCCTCCCTCTCATGGAATATACAGCCTATCGAAATCACTAGTCGGATTAAGAGCCTTATACATATTCATCGTCTTTCACATTCCTCTATCCAGTGTTTAACAATCGTTAACAATCTTTCACTATTATGGCTTCTTCAAGCTACGTCTATAAATTGCATGCATATATAAAAAATATATGTAAAAAAAAACAAAAACCCTTGTACAAAGGTCGCTTGTTTTGAGACAAATCGTTGTACTGGTAAGCAACGCGTCAAAGGGAATAAAATGCATCCAAAATGAAGAGAATACAAATGCAGCGTAACATAGGTTGGGTTCTTCTCTTGAAATTTTCCGGTCAGTCCATTGGGTAGAAACGGCGACTGGTCCAATAAGTGAAAAGAAACAAAGGCTAGATAAATGAATGAAAACTTTTGGCGTCGAGTGACAACAAGCCGGACGTTGAGGGTTCCCGGTTTAAGGTGGACAGAGAGTTGATAGGAGAAAATAAAGAGATTATCTGCTAAATATATTGACAGAGGTTTCAATTCCTCATTTCTCGCTGCGGCGTTTTTGTTTTTTCTCTCCTTTACTTTCCTTGTGTGATTACAATTTGCCTTTTCCAGGTTTTGGCACACGCCAGCACGAACGATAATACCGATTATCATTGCCTGGGGTTTCTGGAAAGCTTCCTTGTATATTTACAACGGAAGTAAATAACAGTAAACCCGTTTTTTTTTTTTTGTTTGTTTTTTTTTTTGTTTTTTTTTCGGGATTTTGATGTTTTTAGGATCTTTTGTTTGCTAAGAACAATATATAACAGCATTTCTCAACCGGTGAGCCGTGGCACACTAATGTGCCTTGAAACGTAGCTAAGTGCAGTACAAGTTAATAGAAGAGCAATTTATGAATTTTCATATTTTAAATTACTTTTTAAAAACTAGAGACACCAAGCACGTGGCTTCCATGTCTAAGTCAAGACTTTGTTATTTTAAACTTAAGGCTAAATTCCTTAATCTTTAAAGAGTGGATAATCCTTTCCTTTTGTTTTGTTCAAGATATTAAATTCAGTCATTATCGGCCTCTCTAAAAAGATAGCAGATTCTTCTTAGATTCTTTTAAATGAAATCTGCACCACCATTCTTTTATATACATTTCATATTTTCAAATTCCATGGCTAAGTTTTCCTGATTAAAATTCAAAGTGCGCCATAAAGTTTTAGTTATTTTACAAGCACACCCTAAATTAAAAAAAATGTTTGATAAACACTGATATATAAAGACACAATAAAAAAACTTTAAAAATATAGAGTTGAAACAGACTTTAGAAAGAACTGGAAACTCAATTCTTAACAGGAAACAGATAAACCTCTACTTCTGTTCAAAAGATCTGGGAGGAGTCTGAACCGGATGATAGACGAACCTATCAACTCCTATTGAGGAGAAGAAAAAAAAAAGGAAAAATCTAAAAAATTAAAAAAATAATTATTAAACGTGTGAAATGATTAGTTTGGCTTTTATTTGAATCGTCTTACGGCATATCAACTCCATATGGTTCATTTAATGCCAAATTTAATTTTCTTAGGAATATTAGTAATTTATTTCACAAAAATGTGCAGCTGGTAAACATTACCAGTTGCATTTTTACCAAAATGTATTGCTGGTATTTTATTACTATGAAAATGTGTTGTTTGTATTTTTATTATAAAAATATAATTTCATAGTGTTTTCATCCCATTTTGGGGATTAGCTATTTTCCTATAGCTGGGACCCTAACAGGTGCTACCACCCTGGCTTAAGTTGGATCTGGGAACAACAGCAATAAAGAAATGGTTCCAGTCTCCTCAAAACCTCCCGATCAGAGGCCTTGCTGCCGGATGTAGTTAATAGTCATTCACAGGATGGGAGGAAGGATAGAATGTATGATTGTCAGCAAGAGAAAAAAAAGCGCAAATGCGAAATATTTCAAGCTATTAACAAATTTTTTTAAATTGGAAAATATTGAAAAATATACTCCACCCAGCTTGAAAATAATGTGTATCCTGTGCCCCAGGAATCTGGGAACCGCATAGAATGGCAAACCTTGTTCCTTAATGAAATCTTTCATTAACATAACATGGCGATATTAGTCGCTGTTCCTTAATGAATTGTCAAAGATGGAAATTCTGCCTTGATCTCAGAAATTGTGTGGCTTATTTTCTTTAATCTTTTCTGGGTTTGTGTGCGTTCTTTTTTTTTCCAGTTGCTACGCACTCACCAGAAACTATTTTGTTCACATGCATGCAGTTCCTTAATTCGAGAAGAAACTGCTTCCAGTGGATGAACATTGCAGTTCAACTCTAGAGTTGTTTCTCAGTCTTTTTCAAGTAAAAAAACAGTCAAGAGGTTGACTGGTGCACGGTGAGCCAAACGGCACTTTGTTTGAAACTATTTTTTTTGGTAAATGTTATTCAGACTCACACCAGATGCTTTTGAATGCAATTCTGCAATTTGTTTTATACTTCTCAAAATATGTTGCCGATAATCCTCTGCAGTCCCACCAGCCAGATGTTCAATTGACACAAGATGGAATGATGATGGTACTGTTATCTCAAAATTCACATGAATACCATCTTGTGTTCTTGCATCAAAAATTAATGTACAATTATCTGATGCCACAATGGCATGACCTGTTCTTAAATCGGGAAAAAAAACCTGTTCACCTAACATTCGGCCAACTGTTGCTTCCGGTTTAATAGGAAATTTTGGTTCCTGTATGAAAGTTGAAACTTTTCTTAAAAAGTCCAGGAACATTTTTGCTGCCACTCCACTTAAACAGGAGTATTGGATTTTTCTGGATGTCCAGTGTGTGGAATTGTTTTTTTGTATTTTTAATCTTTTTTAAAATTACTTGTAATTTCTGCAATTTGTTTCAACAGGAATATGATTTTTGTTTTGACAATTTTGTTTTTAATTTAATATTTTTTTTTAATAAGGGAAGATGTCTACGCTGAGATTGCCGGGGCCTCCACTGGGGTGGCAGAGGTATCAAAATTAAACACTTCTTCATATTTTTGAATTTTATAAAAACTTCTCCCATTATGCCTAGATTTGTAAACCCGCTGAAATTTCGAAACACTGCTATATAACACTGCAAGAAAACCATTTTTGGCATTCTCACAAGATGCCCATGATTGTATGGCCATCACTGTATCATTTTCGAAAAGTTTCTTTAAAATATGGCCGCAGAGAACTGGCTGTCTAGATTCCACAGAATCATCATATCCAATCCAAAGTTGTGCCGTTTTGTTCATCTGGAAATATCAAAGAAAAGAGAAAATT